GATTTGAGGATACTGCGTAGTAGAAGTGTATTACTGATATGAACTAGTGAGGAATTTTAAATAACGCGTTTTTTTTCACGACTCTTCCCCACAGGTGGTCCATCGGCCAAACAACATTCTGTTGTTAGCTGCATGTTAGCGCCATATATTTATTTTTTTGGATTTTGTCATCAATATTGCTTTAACCCGTCAGCTGCAAAACTGACCCATACTTTTGACAGTGTGATTTATTTTCATTTGCCTTCTCTTCATGAAGCTCGACTTCATCTGACGTAACGTATCACTCTCGTCTCGTTTATTTGTTTTCGGGATGCCTACAATAGCGACAGGACGTCCTTGGAACACAGTGCGTGTTTTATTGGCAGTATGTCCTACAGTCTACAGAGTTCGTTTAAAAACCATCTTGGATAGAAGCGCATGAGTACTTCCACCGTACTCTATCTTTAGAGAAGTTATCCGATTTCGAATTTTAACAGGCGGACAAAGAGGAAAAAAGTAAACTTATTGAATGCTACTACCAGTCGCATATTACCATATTTTGTCAGATGTCTAAATTATGTTGACGCAGTTTAAATGCAACTTCCGAGTTAAACTCATGGCAATTCATACTGTCATCCTTGTTTTTACTTTCCAAAATAGCCTAAGTGTTTATGCTCCTCGTAGTGTGTCCAGGCAAACACTGTTCTATGAATGCCGAATAATGATTTACCAGACAGAACTTAGTTCGCAGAAGCCGGCCAAGATAAGTACGCAACAGCCTGGGATATATGAGTTAAGAATCTATTTGTCCCTGAATACACTTCGGCCTAGCCGTCTGACCATCCTGGAGTACAGGGAGCCTCCTCTTATACACGGCTAGCAAAATGTAGGGGATATATTTGATGGATACTTAGGTTTCGTACCCAAATATAACAAGATTCTTATCACCACAGCATACCGGTATGAGTTGTAAGTGATATTTTTTAAATTTTATTCGCCTGAGTTGTTTTAAGGTAAAATGCGTAAAACCTTTCGTGCGTTAGCTCGTATCGCTCTCTTAACTTGCCGCCTAAATATATTTTCCTTTCAATAAAGAATCAGTTTTTTATTTCATTTTTGCAAGTAATGAGTTACACCCGTGCTTTTTTTGTTTTTTCGACTATTCTAATCACAAAGGGAAAGTCAAAGAGCGAAAGACCGCTAAATGTCACCAAATGTAAAAATAACCAAATGAAATTGACGAATTCGCACAATCAACGGCCAGCAAGCAGCTGTAGCGTAGCCTGGTAGGACTAAACGAACGGGGCATTTATTGTGGTAAAAGTGTGTGATACCTTGAAACATTGCCAAGTACGGCATACAAGCTTAATCGATGACAATCTTACAGCGTACTCATTAGTAAGGTTCCGGATTTTAAGGGACAACACCTTCGAGTCGTTTTTACCTAGACTGACCATAACAAACACAGTATCTCCTGAAATATTCTTTTCTTTGTATCGCTTAGGGATATCTTTTAATTGCTTAGAAATTTGTCCCGACCACCAGAACCCAGACTTTCTTTTATACCACCCACCTTATTCTAGAATTACTTTGGATTTACAATTTCGACTTTTAGGCGAAGGACCCCTCCGAAAATGCAGAAGATTTTCAGCCTGGACACGTACTTGGGTCCATTTTTAATGCGATACCTTGGCAAGTATGTAAAACTGCGCGATGATCAATTTGAACTCTCATTATGGGGTGGCGATGCTGTTCTCAATCACGTTGAGCTACAGTATGATATTTTCGAGCATCTCATTCCACTCCCAATCGGCTTCAAATCGGGTCAAGTTCACGAATTACGCATCCACATTCCTTGGACACGCCTTGGCTCATCGAGCATAGTCATAACTCTTAACACCGTGGAGTGTATCCTGGCTTTGAAGAAACCAGAAGAGTCCAACTCTAGAAATCGAGGTCCACCTCCATCTTTTACTTCATCACCCCCTGCAACTCAAGATGAGCCTCCCCCAGGCTACCTTCAATCCTACTTAAATCGTATCCTCTGCAACATTCAGGTGGTTGTAAACAACTTAATTGTTAAGTTTGTTGAAGACACGATCGTGTTGTCGTTAAACGTTCGATCGCTTGACTGTTTCCCAACATCCTCAAACTGGATTCATGGCATACCTTCATTAATTTCAAACCAGAACTTCTGCTTATATCGGCTGCTCAAGCTGACTGATCTCACATTGTGCATGGACGAAAGTGATGCAAAGGGTCACATCGCCGCTTACCAGGATCCAATCGTCTACCGCTGTAACCTTGAGGTCCGAATCCAAACCGTCTACTCACAAAAGAGCTATTGTTTCAACAATGGTCTGGCATCTTTATGCATAGCTAATCTCCTTTGTTCCAATCTTGACTGCCATATAAGCCAAACTCAACTGCCTCTGATAGCTCGTCTTCTTGAGATTCTGCTTGCTCTGGCCTACGGAACTCTTGACTGGAATGCCTTGTCAACTGGCTGGGATAAAAGGTCTAGTAGGGAGACTAGCAACGTCCCCCTAG